GACTGTAGTTACTTGAGCCGTTTAACTTTGAGATCAGCGTTAGGCTTTTTTTACTACAAGCGGCTTTTAGCCCATTTATCCCATTGTAATTGAACTAAAATGTTTAAAGTGATCAATGTAAGGTACAGGCTACCGAAGACTTACAATCATGGTTTCATCTCATGTCTTCAAGAGCTTCTAGAAGTTCGGTCATAATCTGTGATTTATGCAGCTTATTTAGCTAATTACGTAGGTGCACTATGGTTCGAACCCATCCCGAATATTGGTTTAGGAAGCACATCACTGACATTGATTGTTGATTTGGAATTGACGCGACAGAAAGTACGGCAGCTCTTCGTCGTGCCTAGTGGATGCGACCATTCATCGACCGCCGCGTCGGCCAGTATATCCTAAATCTTTTTGTTGCACCGGTAATCTTGTAAGGGATCAATTTGATAGAGACATACTCATAGAAAATAATTACAGCAATAGACAGCAAGTCACAGGTAATCGTTGTTTTATATCCTCGTTTTTCTTTTGAATCAGTGAGCAATTTAACAATGATTATGCGCAAAAGGTTCGATTTCAAAAACTGGGAAGATGTAAATGGGCAACTAATGTTGTATTCATGAGGAGCGAATTAGGCGGGCTCTCTAAAGGAATTCCTCTTAAACGCCGTTCAGTTTGGGGATTTCTACATTAAGTCAGCGAGTATAAGTAAACACACAATCTACTGCTCGCGAACAGAACGCTTTTGTGTGATGAGATGAAACGGTCCCGTTTCATCGAAAAACGGATCCGAAGAACGCTAAGTTACCAACATTGGTAGTCCCAAGTCGCCAGGAAACAACAGTGCTTAGGTACAGCGCATAGCCCGAACGCGACAGATATAATCTTAACCGAGCAAGCGACTCATGAAGAGCTGATGGCGTGGCGTGCGTTTGTTTGTTTGAGATAAATAATCAGCTAAATTGCGCTCAAATCATAGTACCCTTTTTCAGACAAGTAGTGTTACTTGTCTGAAAAGGGGTAGCTGACGGAAACTTCAACACTTTGATTCAAGATGAGTTCGCAAGAAGTCTTTTCCTTTTTTTCGAATAGAGGTTAGAAGGCATATTTCGTAAACTGTGTATTGATGAGCTTCAACCAGTTCTTCTCGTACGACTACAGGTATTAGAAACGCATTCGATTAAACGAAACCTTGTCGTAACAATTTTTATCACGCAGATAAAACGTAACTGTTAAGCAAATACTATAGTTTTTCTTAAAGTGAAGAAAATTGCGTGTCCTTCCATCCACAAATTATTAGTCTATTGCCCACGCGGTTACCAGGGCAGCCTATGGCTACGATCTTCACCGTGTAAAATAGCAGTCAGCTTTTCTAGTGCAATACTTTATGACATTCAGCTCGCGCAGCCCCGTTCTACGTCGAATGCTTAATTCGATCTTTGTGTGCACGGATAGCTGCTCCACCAACAGTTAATTATTATTTTTGACTGAATAGCAGCAAAAACTGTATCCGCAGAGCACATAATTTTTTACAACGTATTCAACGTAATCAAACTACCCTCGCTTTAACCAGTCCCCATGGCTCTCGGAACGCTCACTTACCCCTGTTACGTTTATTAGAACCTCCATGAAGTCCGTTTAGGAAGCGGTTGGGCATTCTTCCACACGCAACGGAGTAGCTATTGACGTGACCGGACGCCGAGAATCAGTGATTCTTCAACGTCGGCCCAAGCAACTGAACCAATGGCAGTTGTACGAGACGCGGCACTCATACATAGTACTGCGTTCGTAGCATTGTTGTGTGATCTGTTCGCGACAACTATTCCTCAAGTCTTTACCTCCTTATGCTAAGGTAGAAAAGCTAGCCGATTAGAAGTTATAAAAGAAGCATACTTTGTGTACTTTTTTGCCTCAAGCAAGTGAAAGGAATAGTGCTAGTGCTAGGAAAAAGGCAGTTTTCAAGAATTTCAACATTTTGCTTCGAAATCGCTTCAACATTGTACCTCGTTTCCAAATTGTCAAGGCATAGATATGGATGCAGCGGAGTAAACCAAGCGAGAGCAGAGTGAAGGGTGATCGGAAGAGAGCGCGGGACGCAAAAAAGTACGCATGACGCCGAAAAGGAGCATCAGTTGGGCTAGTTGCTGCTCTACAAACGGAGCACGAAACAGTCTAGCCGCTATGTATTATGGAGAAAAAAGAGCAGCTGCACCACTCTACCGTTGCTGCTTATAAACGGCGCCATTTTCGTCGCCTCATGATTTGCAGCATTAATGAGTGCTTAGAGCCCAGAGTCATTACAGGCAACGGTCGGCTAAGTAACGATGGTGTGAAAGGACCATGTAGAGATGGCAATGGCGCAAGCCCTGGCAGCCACATACCCTAATAAGTCGGTCCTCGGCATTTGAAAATAGCGGACGAGATAACATTAGACGTACGGGTACGTTTGAGCATTCAAGGCAACATACTGTATGGAGGGAGGTGGACGGGAACTGGACTTAATGGTAGGTAGCGCCACTAAGGGCTTGGTGAAACGATGCTTTACAATGATAACCTCGACTTTTAAGACACAGCTAAGTGCCTGTAGTGCCTTCATCGGGAAGGACGTAAACGACGGACGGCGTTCAGTACTCTGCATCATTTCGCTTCAGTTAAAGAGTGACTCAAAGTCCTTTCTCTTTCGAACTTGCTTTCCTTAAGTATCATCTAGGTGAGAAACATCATCATCTTTCCAACACCCCCTGCGGATCTAATAATACCAGTCATTGGGCGTCAATCCAAATAGAGGATATGAGACAACAGCAGCACCCTTCTATGCTATACCGCACCACAAGCTCATATGATAGAAATCGTAGGACTTCAGATATACCCTTCCATCCGGCACTTATCTGCGTACGAACAGCGTGAATACACGCATCGTTGGACAGTTATATGGATTCTGGCAAGCATCGATATTCGGAATAGCCGCAAGATTGGAAGAAGGTTGCTAGGACGACTGAAGCGTGCAGCCAAGAGCTATAGTAATTTCGTAATTCTTTATAACTTTTATCGCGGAATGTCTTTGCTGATAATTTGTACCTGATGGAAACGAAACTGCCTATGGGGTGACACAACAAGTGAAATGGTCCATAAGAGCAAGCGTGTGTGTCATAAAATTGATCACGAGAACAATCAACGATGAAACCGCAGTAAACTGTGCATCAGGTGCTACCTCGCTGCATTATTTTTTCAAGATCACGGACGTGGTAATTGACGTCTCGATTTTTTCTCTGCGTTTCGTTTGAAAATTTCCCAGGATATGAGTAATGCTCCTTGTTTATCAGGCAGCACCAGAGTGCTTGCGACTTGCTCGATTTGCAGGTAGACAGTTTGTAAAAAAAAGCATCTCAGTCGAGGACACGTTGCGGAACTCATGTTTGCTCTACCTTTTGCCCAAACTGCAGTTCACACGGCCTCTCTTCCAGTTCCGTCGGTTGTCCTTTTTGACACATGGTCTGATTCCGCGTTTATTGATTTGGTGGATGACGTTACTTTAAGCAGGATATCTGACATTTGGAAAAGTCAATTTGTTAGACAGAACGACGAAGGCCTGGTTATCAACGATGCTTTCATATTGATAGTAGTGAGTGACCGAATCTCTTTTTGTTTACAGGTATGAATGAGCGGAAATAAATGCATCTGGCGGGCCCGACAAAATGGGCAAAGTTGTTTAACGAGTTATCACTGTATGCTGCCCGTGGTCAGCTAGATAATGACAGACCAGTGCTTAGAAATTACCATGGCAGATTGCAAGCGGTTCCGCTCGAGCGAATAAAATTGCTTCCGAAGAGACAAGATTTCTTAGCCACAGACATACAATTGGTTCGAGAAAAGGGCAAATAGCCCTGACCTTGAACCATTTCTTGGCTTTGTTCGTTGATGCACATCGCCCTAGAAGGCTACAAAATTGAAATTTCTTCTACAGGAATCGTAAATTTTAAATTAAAATTTAGTGATACAATAATTAGAGTGTTTGTGATGATTCTTTTTCTAAAATACTCGACCGTTCTATTCCAGCGAATTTAGTTATGAGAAAACGGCAAACTAACCGTTCAACAAACCATTGAGCCAAAACGTTTGTATTCACTGGTGCCGTCTGAAACGTTCTACCACGACTGTCCTATACGGATTCACTAGCGATTGAAATATTTTGCACTAACTTATTTCCGTCCTATTATATGCCTAATGTCTGATACCCGTGTAACTATTGCCGATATATCGATAGTTTCTGTTGAAACATTCCTACGTGAAACGTGTTATACGTGATCACAAAGCGAAGAATCAAGATTATATTCCATCAACCTGCTATATATGAACGTTGAAATATCTCACCCGACTGGCGTGCTCGAGCCGTTACATTGCAAGTTAACAATGGGCATTTGCGTGCCAAGTGTTTGACAAACGTTTCGCCGTTAGCAAGCCCAGCGATCTAGCACGCGTACATTTGGCAATTTCTAAGTGAACGTGATTTCAATCACGTCTGGACACGACAGGGCAAAATACCAATGAAGTGCTAAAGGTAAAACAACTAGTTTACTTATGTACACTTTATTACGCAACGAAATCAAGCTGCGTTTATCACAAGGCAAAAATAGACATTGGACTGTAATAGTTCCAAGCAACGCGTATGGTGAACGTACACACGTATATGCGTGTACGTTCACCATACGAAAAATAGACCAAAAATTATTCACAGTAATAGTATAAATCACTAGCGAATACAGAATACTTCCACGTCAACTTCATAAATCAACGAGTGAGATATATGCAGCACATGCTGAAATTTAGTATAATATGCTTGCCTCTAGAGACCTTGGTATGGCGCTATTATAGAAGTCACTCGATGCTACAGCTTGAAAACTCTAAGGGAGAGGAAAAATTTGCCCTTCTTTTGCTTGCTTTCTAAAATATTAAATTAAGACAAAGATGTGTTTTGCTTTGTACAGTAATAGCTATTGTTAAATAGTACTAACCTCTGGGCGGCTCTCTCGCACGCCTCGAGAGTGTCGACAGGTGGTAGGGCGGCCGCGCGCCCACTGCCCGAACCGGATCCCGCCTCGGCCACGGTGGCGCCATCCTCGGAGGCGCCGGCCGTCTCGGGACCACCCGTCGTCGTTGTGTGGCTACGCGTCAGCACCCGCGGTTGGACGCGACGCACTAAGACGCCGCCCGAGGACGCGTCTGTAAAAGTGGAGAAACGTATAAGACGGGCAAAAGGAGAAGTGATGGAAACCGTTTTGCATTTCGACAAACAGACTTCGCTGATACGCTACCTAAAAGCCGGCCAAGTGGGCTATTTGAAAAAACGGAATCCTACTAGGAAACGGATAGAATGCTTCAACTCCTCGGTGGTCATAATAGCGCACGTTATGATATACGTTAACATGTGCTTCACGATTAACACGCTTGTGATAGCTTAATAATTAATAAAGTTAATAATAAAATTCAGTGAAAAGTCGTCTTCAGTATACAGCGGGGGATTGATTCTCAACGGATCGAAACAATATGGAGACTAGATGTATTAAATTAGAGCAGTTCAAATATGGGATTATCGTTATTTGCACTAATCGGAGATCAAACAATTCGATTATATAGGAATAAAATGATACGACACACTGGTTTCCTTTTATTTAAGTTCGAAGTTTTTCCTTCTGTTCTACGTAGGTCTAACGAACAGATGCTAGCAAAGTCTACGTGATCACACTGGGATATACACGCTACTGTTGTCGCGAGTCCGATGTTAAGTTGCTGGGTGCCAGCAAACGCCAATTGTACTCTATTTGATATAAAAAGGCCTAAACATAATACACATACTGCGTACCTTCTTGTACTGAATGCATATCAGTAGGTCACCAAACGTATGCGTATAGATTGCTTTGCCCAGCCGTTCGGATATAAAGCTGAGGGTGAAATAGACCGTCCGAAGGGGCCACATATTACGGTAACACTAAACATATATATATATATATATGACGTTTTTCAAGTATGGATGAAAAATGTTACCTGGTCTTTGATCTGAAAGGACTTGTCTAGTGGCGCATCGTCCATAATCCCTTTCATTAGTCATCGTCTGTTATATACATATAGGAACGAGTCTGCTCGGGGTGCCGATTACAACTTGTCCGAACGCAGATTTTTTTCGCGGCCCAACAATCAGTTCGGATTTCACAGGATGATTTATGAAACTGGCAGGCAATACCGTACTTAATGTCATGTATGGACAAAGTAAATCGGTAGTGCCGTAAGAAATAACATCGAGAAGCACAAAAAACAATTAGACGTATATTCTATGAGGCTCGATGTAGCTGAGCGTTTTCTCCCTTAACATTGCATTGGTCTCCTCGCATAGTCGCTTGCTTTATGTGCTAGCTTGCAGCCAGCTAGCTCAGAGCCACCGTATCAAAGTGAAAGCCGACGCAGCGGAATATGAACTTCGTTATTTTCCCAACGTGCTTTTTCCGCACCATGTTTATAGTTTTAAGCGTTTCAAGGACGGTTGTCCTTGAACTGACTGGGCCTACTTATAGCTGGTATAAAAGCGCTCAAAGAGCACATTCGTTTTATAGATATAACGCGAAAGACACTCGGTTTATAGGGTACCATGGAATAGTATGGCATCGATCCCCTCCCTACTGTGACGCTGGACAAAAATGCTAGGCGAAATAGAAAAATATAATAATAGAGCATTAGGATGGACGCGACATGCGAGATATGTCAGAGGGAATGTAACACGCATTCGAAACTATGATATATGAAAACGATCGAGGCAAGGGTTTGCGGGACTGCATGCTTGAAGTTGCAGCCTGGAGACGTCAAGGGAGTTAAGTTGGTTATATAATCAATTGTAACTCAAGTCGTTTCTTTGACATGGTGAAGATCACTTCATTTACTCAAAGGAAAATCTGTAGCGGCTGCAACTTCCGCTACCGTATTTTCGGAAGTAAATTAACGCTAAAGCTCCTGCTGCTAGGTTCCACGAAGTATTCTTGTTCACTAGTTTAGGAGCGTACCCAGTACATTGATCGCACGTATCGTTAGTAGAATTTGGTAAAACGCGGAAGGTTTAAGTTCAATGGAAATTAGTATGTTGTACTTGAGAAGTGTATTTATTATGACAATTCTTGCCGTTATTATTTACCTAGAAACGCCTCCAATTAACAACTCGAACTAGAATTAACTTAACACGGTACAGTAACTATAACAATCGCGGTGTCCTTTCCCTAATTTATTTGCTTTGTCCGTGTACCCGTTATTTGGACTTTCCTTACGTACGGATCACACCTAGGACACGTTCCAGTCAACTCTTTCACCGGGCCCACGCTCGAATTTTCTTATTAGGTATCGTATACGTTTGCGTAGCAGGAGTAGCCAATTGTCTTGCTACCATCGGTACAGGTGGCATAGAAGTGACACAATACGCTAGCATGGAATCAAATGAAGGTTGTTCATTCTTTCTTCTTTCACGGTTAGTTATTCGCGACGACAATATTCAGCACACGTTCGATACTCTGAACTCTTTACAGACAAAGTGACACACACAGGACTATTTACGTCCACCTGGAAGACAGAGTTTAGTTTTTCCGAACACTGAAATCGTCGAAGCCGCCATTGCGCAAGGTCTATTACCTATCAGAGCCTCTGCGCGGATGTGCGGCTAGCGGCCTACTGACTTCGAGTTGAGCTTCGGGTCGCTCTGGTCCCAATGTATTCGCGTACTCTTCGCACGCCGATTGTTTTCTTGCTGGCAACAAGAAGATATCAGTTTCTTACGGGAAATGACTAGGATGGGTCGTTTGAGCCGCGTCGGTGGCGTCGAGAGAGATCCGCGCGGGAAAAACGCTCGGCCTGTGAAGTGCTTTTTTTCTGGCGCAGCCTCTATCTACAGACACTTGGCAGTAACGGTAGACCTTGATGCTGTTTATTACCACCACAACAGTCAAACGGCAACAAAGGAGGCATGTTTAACACGACACTCAAAAATTAAGTAAAATAAATCTTTCTGGCACTAGGTGCTTCGATGCCGAACCAATAAGCATCACAATACGCTCACCTGGCCACAGGTAAAGGAGAGACGGACATAGCCCGTAAGACAGAGAAATAACAAAGCGCGACAAACAAGTTCAGACAGGCGAAGATTGAGGATAGTGTAGTTTGACAAGCAGTTCGGAGTAGTCATTGCTCCCTCACTGGAAGATCGCTATTGACGCATTGTATCATGGGAGGGCGTTGCTATATATAACTTGTGTCACTGAACAATATTCCACCCTGTTCTTCGCTCAGAAATATCTCTGCTCCAGCATCTTGACCACCAACAATGGTCAGTTTGGACCGTAATGTAGGTATTAAGTCGTATGTAAACCCTGCCTCAGACCATAACAAAAAGTATTTCTAATCTGAGACAGAGTTTGAAATATTATATTGGCTATTTATTCAATTTATAACTATTCAAGACAATAGAAAAATCAGAGTCGAAGAACAACGGGCTAGGTATTATATGCTACCTAAGTACGAAAAAAAAATGTCTAATTTATACTAATGGTTATGTGTTCTTCAGAGCAACTAATCGAAACTCCAATTCCAACAGAACTCAGAATTTTTCATGGCATTCGTTAGTAAAATATCTCTAAATGTGTTCTATTGTAAGCTATTATAAGCTGTCTGCAAAGGTATCGATTCTAGTTTTATTGAAAAAAAAAAAACAAAGTATAACCAAGTATTCATATACAATAATGTTTAAGGAAGGACATTCGAGTGGAATGTGTGCCTGTGTGTAACATGCTGGAGGCTTATTAACAGTGGAATAACATGCGTCTTCGTGTTCGTAACGAACCGTGCTACACATCGGGCTGTTTTTAGCAATTACTGACACCTAGGCTCCTCAAATACTTATCGATCCATACTGTGCCTAAACATCGGACGCAGTATACAATCGATCTGCAAAATTTCTCGATCTTTCTGAACCAATTGTTCTTTTTAAACCTTTTCGGTGCAGCTGTTCTGTTATCTCATCGAGCTAGCCATGTTGAATGGCTTCTTACTATAGTACTAGCATTATCATATTACGCTGTTTTTGATATACGCTGTCAGTTAACCCGCTATGAGTGAACGATGTGCAGACATCTATATACTTCAGAAGTTCTGGACCATTTTATGATACGAAACACAGTCTGGACAAAATCGCAATAAATCAAAAGAAATTTTTTTTCGAAAATTTAGTTTTGTACCTATCGTTAGGAGCGAAAAAAAAAAAAATCTAAGTACCTAGTATATTTAACTGTTTTGTCAATCATTAGCCGGCCAATTGTCGTTCCCCGTTGGATCATCAGGCTTCTGTAGAACAAGCACGCTCTTATTCGTCGCATCTCCCGGATGATCTCAGTACTAAGCTTATAGGGCCCTATGTGTGCCTACAAATGTTGCTGCGCTTGCTTTCGTTCCCGGACGAGATTATCCTTTGAGATTCTAAATCAGAATCAGGTATTGCTGCTGCTAGGCGGAGATCATACCTTCCCTACAAGGCTAAATGTAAAAGAACGCTACTTGGTCGAGATCAAGGATGGTTCTCTAACAGCCTGATTCTTTTTAGCATCTATGATCATCCTCTTTCTAAGGGCTGCTAGACTATCCCGTCATGCCGCCTACGTGGAGTCGGCAGATGCAATGAAAAGGTAATGCTTGCTCGGTCCTTACTGGAGAAATGCCGCTTTTCCAGAGCCGAAACGTCGCGAACCCACAGCGAAGTATAACGAGCCTTCAGGATGACCGTATCGGATTCAGTTAGCGATAGCTTTACCGATTTTTCAAGTTTGTGTACGAAGCCTTTTGCGTAGCATAAGCTCGGGTTACTCGACTACTAATAATCACTGCTTCTAAATGCTGATTGGAAGCAAGACGGCAATCTTGTGCTTTACGTGGTGGGATAACAAGCATCACTTTTGGCCTCGCACGATCGTGTAGACCGGTCGAAAATAGATTTACGTGTGCGTTTTGCATTTTTAGCGTAAAATTTTGTGCTTTCTCGTCAAGCTAGATCTACACGCAACAAGTATAAACACTGTCGAAACGATTTTTGAGACGGCTCGCACGTATGTTTACACATAAAAAAAAATCATATTAAAGTTTGACATATAGCTCTTTTCCATTCAGTATAATTTGAGGGAGTATATTCTAACATGCGGGAA